TTGAAGAAAGTGACATCGGAGTATGCGATTGTCTTCAATCGGTGTCAATTCTTCCCATCGGATAACCTCATCGATACTTGTCTCGATCGTACTAATACGAACCGAATACGGTCGACGGCCAACATTTGCGTCGTCAATCGTTTGAAGCAAACATTCGTTGGTATGATCGAACCATAATCGAGTGCGAAATATCGAGTGACGTGCGACAACAAGATCGATAGCTGCGAGACATTTTTCGATCACTAATTGCCCTTCTTCAACAAAGAAAACATTGTACATGTTGTACATAGCTATTGATGCAGTTGAAAAGAAAACTTGTTCAGCTAGCCAAATGGCTTCTTGTGCGTAGGAGGCTTGAGCTGGTGAAATTTAAAAAAGACGAAAGAATGAATGGAAGCATCATAACATAGTGGTACAACTACAAACCTGAGGTAAGGTGGAGTGGAACCCAAGCAGAGTCGTCGTGCCTCGTTTCGTTCAAATGGCAGAGACTGGTCTCTTCGATAAGGTGAGCGTGTTCAGCAATTGTTGTCATGTAAAACAATTTAACGATCGGCAACAATGCAAGATCAATTTTGAAATGAACACTATATTGATAGTATAATTTCATCAATTTCAGACTGTTTCCACCCAGAATGAAGAATGATGTGTGTGTATCGATTTCATCATTGCTATCGTTCAAATAAAGTATTTCTGTCCACATACAAGCAATTGTTCGCTCTGTATTTGAACATGGTATACATATGCAGTTCATCGTGTTGTTTCTCAGAAGTGAAGAAAAATCAGGCATAGGCAACTGACATCTATCGACTTTGCCACTGTTCGTCAAAGGTAGACGATCGAGTAACGTGAATAGAGATGGAACCATGAAACTAGCAAGATGAGATTCACAATGAGAACGAAGAAGAGCAAGTAAATGCTCGTCATTGTTGTCCGATTGTCGTTGCACATATGCAACAAGGTAATCAGAAGAAGCATGAACAACTTTGATGACGACACAATTGGAAATCGATGTGTCAGAAGAAAGTATGCACGCTTCGATTTCACCAAGTTCAATGCGTTGTCCACGAAGTTTTACTTGATGATCTCGTCTACCTACGCATTCTAGTTGTTCTGTGGTCACATTTAGACGACCATAATCGCCTGTTCGATAACATAAACCTCTATCTTCATCTAATTCAATTAGGACTTGTCGAGTGAGATCATCACGACCAAGATAGCCAGCAAACACACCAGCACCTGATAATAAAGGAAATTGTGATGTTAAAAGAAGTATGAAAATCAACAAAATTCATTCACCTCCAATGAGGATCTCTCCAATTTGTCCTGGTACGACCAATTGCATGTATTCGTCAAGTAAATAAATACGCGTATTTGCAAGGGGGCGTCCTATTGGCAGCTGACCGAGAGGCTCATTGCCAGTCACTTTGTTAGCAATTATCGCAAATGATGAAGTTGTGTTAAGCTATATGGAAGAGTTTACACAAAATAAGTGCACGTAATAATTGATTAGCCAAATAACATGTAGAAGTTTCGGCGCACTCGGCGGGTCCATAGGCATTATAAATGGCACAATGATCACGATCAATATATGCATTCATTTGATGTAATACGATGCTCTGTATTGGTTCACCTAAAAATCAGCGAGATATAAAAAGGTTTAACATGGATTCTAATAAGATACCTCCTGCAAAAATAAACCGAAGTGTCTTGAGTCGAGTTTCATCAGAAACTGTCAGTAGGAAGTCATTGAAGAGAATCAATAATGATGGTACACAGCTAATGTGCGTAACCTGATATCGGGCAATCGTGCTTGTAAAATAATTCATGTCAAGATGTCCATTTGGTTTTAAAATAATTATTTGCACACCGCTCATCAGTGAGCCAGCTGTTTCGCTCAGATGAGCATCAAATGTGACTGGTGTATGATGTACAACAGTATCTGATGAATGAATGGCGTAAGACAATATGAGAGACGTAAAGTTGTTGTGACGAAGTTGAACCTATCATGAATATGTGCATAATTGCATATAATACATTGGTATCTACATTGNCGCAAACTTTGATTAGAGGGCAGAAAATTCGAAAGATGAACAACAGCGTTTTTTTTTGCGGTTGAAACATGTATCAATGAAAGAGCGCATCGAGCTGAGTAAGAAAGATCTAATTTCAACTTTTCAAAGCATAGTTTCTTCACGTCGACAAATAATAAAAATTTGAAAGATCCTATTTTTCGAAAACTACCTATGATGTGAGAGCCCGAATCGAATCGGGTCTGGCTAGTTCGAGTTCGGTTTTAGTAGTCCTGGTTCCTTATAAGCAAGAATACAAGTTATGTTACAACTTTCTTCTTAAACGTTTAGTATGTTCCACTAGAGTTGATATTGGTGTAAATTAATACTGTTTAATATACTAATGGAATGGATCAAACTATTTTTTTAATATCACTGTGTAAGTGTTACCAGTTTTTTTTTTTAGTGTTAATGAATAATCTTGCATGATTACCGACGATTATTCATTGCAATACAGAAAGAAGGAGAAGTTTAACAGAGAAGAAAATAACAGAATTATGTAGCACAGAAGCGATCCATAGTCATAAACTCGATTCATGTGTAACTGCTATGAAGTGATAAGAAAATGTTGTATTATGTGGAAATTTAATTGAAGATGATAAACGATCAGTCAAAGCTCGTTTTATTTGTGCTGATCGCATTATCCTTTTACAAAAATCCGATTACAGCTGAATCGATTATTTTTTCATCTGAGATTTGACTCCACTCGACTGCTTTTTGAAAATTAGCTCGGATTCGATGCGGTTCGAATTTGTAATATGTATGAAATTCATGTAATTTCCTGTTCTTCTATTTTTCTACTTTTGAGTTTTTCAAATTGTTTTGTTCTGATTTTGCATAAAAAACTAATTCAAAGAGTTGATGTTGAACTGATGGTGAAAGCATTAGTCTTTATGAATTTGACAGCGAAAACTTGACTGTCCTACATGATACTAGATCATGTTGTAAACCTATCTAGTTCTTTTCATTAATAGTTGTTGCCAAAATGATTTTCTCAGCTTATGGGCTAGAAAAATGGACTATAAGAGTATGTATCAAGTTTTTCAAAAGTCTCGATTGTCGCAAATAAAATTGAATTTTACTTCAATTTCGACGGTTATTCTTAAAATCAGATGATGATGTGAGTGGGTGAAGTAAAGATTTGCATTTATATACCCATGTCCACATTCACACCATTTTCGAAAATTAAATTGTTTGACTTGCCTGAATCCGATGAATTGCCATCAGGTCGCTTCGAAAATTGTGGTATATACATGCTCATGAAACTATTCGCACTCCTGCATGATTTAGACCTCGAAATCGAGTTTTGAGCGAATACAAAATTTTTGTACGCTTTATGTTGCATGTACGCACAGGCTAAGATGTCTTTTGTATATGAGCTAACAATGGGTTGTCCTTCAATATTTTCTAGAAATTCAACTCTTTGATGGGGGTTTTGTTACCATGATTTATTTTGAACATTATTGACGATAAAGTTTTTCGCATTTAGTTTTGACTTAAAGATGCAATGCTGTTACCAATGACATCTATACCAGAACTAACAAATATTGGAAAGGCCTACTTTACGATATTTCAGCTTCGTTCTTTACTCAAATTTTGTAAAAGTGAGTTTACGAACGTCGTCATCAAAGGATTCAGAAAATCCTACAGGGATGATGAAATTTTTATGTCCACAAGATTATTCGTACGTCAACATATCTTTTTTGTTTCTCTTGTCCTTACACTGCACCTATAGACGTAAAAAAGCATACGACTTAGAACAGAAAATTACTCTCTGTATGATACACTTCAAAACTAATTAGTTAAATGGATAACTATATCTTAGTTATGTTTTAGCATTACAGAAAGAGATTCGAATCAAAATATTTTTCTAACCATTCTAAAAAAGCGTAATTATTAATTAATGATATTCACATGATGTCGTTTTCTTTCGTGAATTTTCTCTAGTTTTCTGAATAAGTTCTCATTTTTCGTCATATAAGAGAATAATTGGTTCCAAATACGATGATTTCTTCAGTAAACTGTAGCAGATTCTACATTTGATCTGAGCTCTGCATTAGTTGACCTATAATGAAGCATATGTCACTTTTTCTATTATATAGATGTATCCGTGGTGTTTGTTGCCTAGATTTATGCTGACAGGAGTAGCTTGAAATATTGATATTATTTGCTCAACAGATATCAGCAAGTATAGGTCTATTTTCATTTTTCACATCCTACGTATGGGAATCAATAGTGCTAATTGTCTTTTCATTTTGTTGTATCCCAACATATGCATTGGAATCTTCGATTATAACGAGTGTATCTTTCGTACTCATCTTATCCACAAGTATCTTAATGTCGACACAAAATGTATTCGACGTATCTCGTAGATTTTTCTACATTACATCGATTTAATAGAACATATACCATTCTTATAGTAGCATGAATTGGCTTCCCTTCTAATACAGTCATAGCCATTCTTTCACTGGCAGACTACTGTTCTAATTAAGAAGCCTTTCATACATCTGCAGCTTGCTTCGTTAAGCAGAGTGATAGACCTTCTGCTTGTCTGGTTTTATCAGCAACTAGAAAACGAGGGTCGACGAGGGTATAATCACCCAAAATTTCTACTGGTGAATCATATATTTTTGTTTCGCTTAGTGATGCACCGTTTATTGAATATATTCTCAATACATTTGAGATTCTACAATAAATCGAATCGCGAGAATTTATGCACCTTCACTGATTCACTCTCACAATAACAATGGTTTAAGATCTCGTTTAGTGTGGTAGGCCTATACAAAAGACTGACGCACAACGATAGACTGTGGTCGCTTTATATTATTGTAAAACAACAGTAGAACTTTGTGGCAGTTCTCGCACTCTGACGATCGGCAAGAAAATATGAAAACTTAAATTTTTATGCGTCGTGAACTCGAAGGCAGTTCAAATTGACTGTATTATTTTGAACATAATGCCAGTGAGATGAAGAAATTTTTGCGCTATACTCACAGCTTTAGGCGTTCCAGTTGAGCCTGATGTGAATACGATGTGTGAAATATCATTGGGCGTAACTCGAATATTAGTTAAGCTATTTTCATCAATCATCATTGGACAACTAATGATCTTGTCAATATCAATAATAATGATCTCGGATTGGTTTGAAAGAAGATGTTTTGTATAACCATGGACAAGGACAAGTCGAGCATGAGTACTTTTAATACATGTCTTAATTCGAACGATTGGATCACGAGGACTCATAGGCATATAGATACCGCCACTTATCCATATTGCCATCATGGCAATAATCATTTCGATGCTTCGTTCAAATAAATGGCCAATCACTCCGCCACCAATGAAATTTGCAGCAAGGTGTTGAGAGTAGTAAAGAGTCTCAGCATAGGAGAGTGATTGTTCTTCGAGAAGTAATGCCAACTTTTGTGGATGATCGATGGCTTGATGAATGAATGCATGATGTATGCAACTGATTTCACCAAAATCGACGTAGCTAGAATTGAGTTGTCGTAATATAGTCATTTCCTCAGTAAATAGAGTGTTGAGTGCATATAGTGGTTGCCTTAGCGGGGATTGTCGGTTAGTTTCATAGCTCTAGAAATATATGCGACTATACCAATTATGATTAAATAATAGTGCTTACTGGTTTTAGCTGACTTGTGGTCGTTTTGATTGTAATATCATTGCTAAACAATTGCCGAATTAGAAGCTGCCATCGACAAGCCATACGTTCAATTGTAGATTTATTGAAGAAGTCGGTCGAATATTTGAACGAACATTCGATTTTGTTAGCCAGTTCATCGTAGATGAAAGAAGCACATAAAGGAAATTCAGTCGTCATTTGTTCTTCATCCTTCACGAGGCGCGTTAGACGAGTAGGCGAATCATTGCTGAAGTGAAGCTCAAGGGATCCGTTCGTGATTGATTCTACTTCAAGTATAGTGCTAAGCAAGTAGTTGGTTGATGACTGTAAATCGCCAGATACACATGCAGCAATATGCTGAAAGGGTAAAGTACTGTGCGGTAGCGTCGTAAGACAGAGCTTTTGCACACGTTCAAGTAGTTCAGTGAATGTCTCAGTGGGTTTTATATGTAAACGATAGGGTAATACATTAGTAAACATTCCTACGAGTGAGTAAAGCTGATAGTGAGGTCGATTGGCCACAAGACCACTGATTACAATATCTGTCTCACCGGTCAATCTATACAAAAGTACGTAGTAAAGCGCAAGACAAAGTTGAAATAATGAGACACATTTCTCTCTGGCAAACGTGAACATTCGTGTGATGAGACTTTCATCAACCAGATCGATCTGTACAGAGGCACCACGTCCCGAATGCGTCATGTTTAGATAAGTATGATTATCGAACAGTATTGTCAAACGCCTACCATCATAATCGTCAAGTGTTCTCTGCCAAAAATGTTGTGCAATGGATACATCGCATTTTTTCTCATTTAATGAAAAATCGATATAAGTCAATCTATTGTTTTCATTGGTCTCAAGAGTCATCCACATATAGGCACGACGAAACTCTTCAAAGAAGACACGCTCTGAACTACCATCGAAGCATATATGATGAAAGTTAAATATGACAATGTCACCAGCTGACAAATAATCATTATCATCACTATTTTGTGACCATCTTATTAGATGACAACGAAATACTCGTCCTTCTTCGAGATTAAAGAGCGACCGAGTGTGTTTTTCTCTGTTAAGCAATGCATTAAATTCATTTTCACTTGTAATACATGTTGTTTCGACAAGAGAAGATAGGAAGTCTTCGTCAGGCACAAGTACATGCTGTTTGAGCCCTTCTTGATTATTTTCATCATATGTCAAAGATGTTCGCAGTGTTGCATGCTTACTGACAATAAGGGCTAATGCGCGACGAAGCTGAGTGATTGATACACGACCAACATCAATTTTGTATATGATGGGCACATTGTAAACAGCTACTGCATCTGACTCAAATCGAATTTTATCGTCGAGCCAAATACGTTGTTGGGCGAACGAGGCGACACCTGTAAATGAAATCAAACAATTTTATTTAGTGTTTTCTAAACTTTTGTTTTCTTCTTACCATGGCTACGTTGCAGCGAATGGCAGACCCTTGAGGATTTCGAAATATTCATCTGCGCATTAGTTAGTAGTTCAACATGTTTAGTAATGGTCGGTCGAGTGAAAATATCAATAATATTCAAATGCGCATGAGGAACAAAATAAAACTGATAGTAGCTAAAAATTCGCATGAGAGATAGAGACGAACCTCCAAGTGCAAAAAAATTTGCTTGACGGGAAATGCGTTCGATACCAAGGATAGAATACCATAATTGATGTACGTATTTTTCGAGCTCCGAGATTGGTTTCATTTCATAGTCAGTTCCAACTAAGGATGTCAAAGTAGGCCGCGGTAAATGTTTGCGATCAATTTTGCCGTTCGAGTTGAGCAGAAGTTGTTCGAGAACAACGAAATACGATGGAACCATAAATGAACAAAGGTGACTTTGACAATAAGATCGAATTGACTCGATATCGAGCTGCGGCAGAGCCGACACGATATAGGCAACAAGGCATTCATCTTCGTTTATATCAAGCTTTGTAACAAGACAATTCCTGATATCTGCCGGCGACCATGATATTATCATATTCTCAATTTCTGACGCTTCAACTCGCTGCCCACGAATCTTAATCTGAAAATCAAGTCGACCAGCAGATATTAGATCACCTTGTTCATTAAACGAGGCCAGATCCCCTGTATCAACGTATTGTTCATTATCGTCCAATGTCACAAATGCCTTTCGCGTAAGTTCGTCGTTCTTCCAATAACCTTGAAAAATTCCACGACCTGTAAGCACAATCAAATACATTTTCGTAAGACATAAAGACATTGTCTACAATGTGTCTTCGAGCATCAGTTCAAGCAATGAGAAGAAATGAATTAGGTAGTACAATGTCTTGGTGTTCCTTTAGGATTTCACATATAATTATTTGAACATTCGTTCAATTGGAGAATCTTTCTCCTTGTGTTTCATGTCTTTTGAAAGAAGTTTCACGAAAACACCACTCAAAATTACAAGGAAATATATCAAAAAATATATCTAGAAGCCACTAATCCAGCTCTAATGAACACAAACCATTAACCCCGTAGGTAAATATGTACGTTTTTGAAATGATATCTTCAGATCATGCCAGCGAGCAACTTGTGCTGTCATAAAAGCTATTGATATCGAAAACAGTGAATTTTATGGGAAAAGACTTGATTTTTCCTTCATCAAATATTTCAACATGTAAACTTCCTGGGCAACTACTGTCTAACATAAAAAAATAGAGCATTACTCACTATAGAAGAGATTTTTATTTGTAACACTTTGCTGACATAATAGTTACCAGTAGATGAAACATATCATTTTTTTACTTGAATCTTACAAGTAGGATGTGAGTGTGAATGCCGGTATGGATGAGAGTTTTCTCTACACCAGTCATCCATATCCTCCTCCACAGACTTTTCCTTTCTACAAGTTTCTCGACCGTGGATTGAAAGAGTGTCAACTAGTTACATAATCAGGGGTGTTTTATTTGTGAACAATCTACGAATAAACTTTTATAAGGATTGCTCAGCTTGTATGTCACCTTATTTTTAACAACTGCATCGTAGTTATACGTAAAGGAAATTCTGAGTCGTAGTTGTATCCAACTTCAAAATTTTGATCACAACTGCGCGTAGCTGCGACGCACAGAGCGTAATACACAGCGCTGTCAAAGTCGCAGTTATTGCGACACATATCAACACAACCGCGTCGCATCGATCGCATTAGGAAATTCACTTTATGAAATGCCAATCAAGAAAAAATACTCCTTTTTACTTGAAATTGGTAACACTCTAGCACCATAACTTAGCCACAGAGGGACCGCATAAAAGACAGTATTCTTGCGACTGTGGTTCATTTTTCATTCTACACCAACCGATAGAGTATAAAGTTTGAATGAACATTGTTTGCAATGAAAACGGAGACCAGGGTATTTTCAAGGGCCGTGAATTCGAATCCAAGGTCAGATTTTGATTATTATTAATATCTTAAAAATTCTTCTAATTGTTTTAGATTTTTTTGAATTTTGTTTATTTTTCGATTTATTTTAAGTTTTTTTAAAACTTTTACCCTTTTCTATTTATTTTGCTTCTTTTTAGAAAATTTTAAAAATTCTTTATTGATTTTTTTTAATGATTACTTCTGGTCAAATTTCTTGAAAAATCTCCAAATTTATTCGTAATTCATAATAAAAATATAGAAAAAATGAAAATCTCACTTATATTGTGTCTGTTAGCAACTGAGCCGGAGGCACGACGCAACTGCATTGCAGCTCGATCATAATCAAACACAGGGACTGTGTGCAATTTTCACTTTTAAAACAAAATCCTTGAGCAGTAACTTTTTCAACCATAGACAATTGTCCAATGGTCCATAATTATATACATTAGTGGCGCTAATTCAGTAAGCAAGAATATTAGATGGCTAAAGTTTTTAGGACAAGTAGCGGAGTCAGAGCAGTGTTTTTTGTAGAAATTTCAGGACTAACTTCTTTCTGGACACAGATGATAAGAGTATTTCAGTTTTTGCTGATTTCCGGTATGCATAAGAGAAACTTGTCTCAATTTTTTTTAGAAAATCATTCCAGCATGGAAAATTAACGACCTATAGAGAGTTCAACATGCTCTTCAATCTAGATAGATCCAGAATATTAGTTTTGATAAAAACAAATTTCTGTATGAAGATCTAGTTTTCCAGAAAACTGAGCTTAATAGAGATAACAACACAAACGAAGGCCAGAGTCGAAAACAGCATAGTCAGTCACTACATGAGCCACGCTGTTTTATTGAAAAAGGGAGATGACAGCTCAGATTGCTTCCTAATTAGTATTGAAGAAGCAACGTTTAATAAGTAAAACAACTTCTAAAAGTCTTGAATAAAATAAAGGACTATCGAATTTTGGATTTGAAAACACTTCTAAATTAATACTATCGTTAGTTATGATTCGGTTTCGAAAATACCAGCTTACCGCCAATGAGAATACGTCCGACTTGACCCGTTTGTCTCGACGCAGCGTCTAATATGCGGCCTTGCTCGTCCATGAGTACGCAGCGATAACCGAGTAAGGGACGACCAATAGGTAATGTGGCATTGATGTTGTCGAGTTCAACAGACGGATTGAGCAGACTATGTCCGATAGCTGTATTGCATTCACTGAGACCAAAAACATGGAAGAGACAGACTTTGGTCCAATTTATTTGGAGACAAAGAGCGCGTAATGTCACTACTTTGCAAGATTCACCTGAATAAAATTATATTGTATATCGATTCTCGGGTGTGAAAACTTACCAGAAATGCAAAAGTTGCGCACTTGTTTTAGGGTCGCTTGTCCACATTGGGTCATGCTCAAATAATCAACAAAGACCCGTAGTACTGAAGAACCCATTGTGAGTACCGATACTTGTTTCTCTTTGATCGTCTTGCAGAAATAGGCCATATTCAAGTTGCCACCAGGTCGCATAAGAACTAATGTGCCGCCGAGAACCAGCGGTGGGAACACTTCAAGTAAATGCATTGCCCATGAGCATGCAGCTACTTGCAAAACTTTGTCGTAGTCTTTGTAAAATTTCACATCCCAATTAATCATCGCTCCAATGCCAACAGCGAAGCTCTCATGAGTATGCACTATTGCCTTTTGTCGTCCAGTGGTTCCTGACGTACAGATTATGTAAGCAGCGCTTTTACTAGCAATAGGTATATCTAGATTTTTAAATAGGCAATATATTAATTTCGCAGTATTTTTATCTTACTTTGTTCGTCCTCACATGAATCGTCTTTACTTTTATGGTCAAATATGATCCGATCTAGACAAATAATCTGTTCATTGAAAGACGGAAATTGATCTTGCGTGCGGGCATGAACCAAAACAAATCTACCTTGAACTTCCTCAAGCAACGAACGGACACGAAAAGGTGGGTCATTTGGATTCAATGGACAATATATACCTCCAGAGGCCATAATCGCCAAGATGCCACACACCATTTCGAGACTACGTTCAACAAATTGATACACGACTTCATTTGAGTTGACACCGATATGGCGTATATGATGGCTCACTCGGTTGACGTGACCCAAAAGTTCACCGTATGTCCATGTTTGATCATCAAGCTCCAATGCTATTTTTCCAGGGGAACTGTGTGCAATCCTTAAAAAATCGACCAGCACTGTGAATGACATAAATCAATGAAGTATAATCTAAATGACAGCGAGTACATAGTGAAACTGATAGTAATTAACAGTGAGTGTCAGAGATAATAAAGAAATCCTGTGTATCAGATAGGCTTGGATCTGTATACGGGCGTAAATAGTGCATGTGTATTTGGCGGCATTGCTTTCATGCACACAAGCCCATCTACCGATTTATGTGACGAGCCCACTGTTTTTTGACTATGTATTTGAGAGCAGCATAACAAATTGTTCTACTTAAGCGTCAAGCAGCCCGACTATTTAACATAGATACTATATTTCGCTGCTACTAGAGATAAGCATAAGTGCTAATTCTCATGTATCAACCGTTTCATTAGACGTCTGATTTCTGTTACAAATATTCGAGTCAAAACGAATGAAGGACAGTCATTAATATCGAAATCAAGTAACTTTTCGATTTTTCGTAATGTTCCTTATTGGAAAGAAAGTAATGACACATATACAATGTTCAGAGTCTAATAAAATTAATAAAATAGATCTACAAATTTGATTTTGTCGACCGAGTACTACATTGAATAACGCATCTTTTGAAAAAGAAGATCAATGCTGTATCGTGCTGATGAACAGATTGACCTGCAAAAAAGCCTCACAAAACTATTGTCCCGAACGGCACTTTCTTCATTCATACCTTCTTAACTCATGAGAGAAAATTCTTGTTTTTTTCCCATAGGCTTTCTTTGAGAAGTTATGTCGATCTGAACTTCCGAATAATCACTCTACGTTGTTATATCTGAAGTCTTAATTTTTATGTTAGTTCAGTTTTCAGCATTCAAAGTTTTAACAACGGATGCTCCTTGTTTGGCTGCATACATACCCGCACAATTAACATAAACAGAAATCCTAAGAATCCCCATACTTTAAATATATCAATACTATTAACACTTCGAATGTCAGATATTCAACTATTTTCTCAAAAATGATCAAAACTCTCTGGAACTACTATAATTAAAGACGTAGTAATTAAAACTTTATTATATATCTCATTTTCAACAGTCTACATTCAATTTAGTTGTTTCATTGCATGTTTATGCGAAACAAGTACAAAAGATAAGGAAGACTATTGAAACCTTATCGACATTTATTTTTAATATATGTCATAAATAGATGAACACAATTGGAATTATATGAGTTCTGAAAAAAATTAGATGTGTTGCATCGACAGTACTAATGATATTGAAATATTGAAAGCATAGACTACTTAGAACTTCCATTTATGTTTCTTGTGCGAATTTGCATAGCCAATTAACGAGCATCCAGTGTTAAATCTTCGAAAGCTGAGAACTAAACTGACATAAAAATAAAAGTTTCAAAAAGAACAACTTACAGTGATTATTCTAAAGTTCAGATTGACCTAACTCCTCCAAGAAAGCCTATGGGATAGAACTCATCATTCCATCGTGATCAACTCACCGACCTCTACAACGCGACGTAAAGCTATTTGGAAATGGCGAATCACACTTGGAGATATTTCTTTGTCTGCCAGTTATTAATCTCAGTTCCAGAAATTTGATTCATATGAATTCTAAAAACTACTCTACGAAATCACAATGCGACATAAAATATTTATAAATGATGATTATTCACTTTCTTTCTGAGAGTGATGACATCAGAGTAAAAATCATCTCCATAGATACTAATAGATTTCTTTTCTCACTTTCTCACTTTCTCATGCGACAATTGTTTGCTTTGTTGATGAATAGCTCGACATTTGTCAGCAGGGTATGAATAACAAGAAAAACATACACGTGTTTCAATCAAAGTTTACCTTGAAGAACGAAAACGAATCCATGTAAATAAATAAACAATTGCAATATTAACAGTGCATATGTGGACACTAGCTTGATATGTTCTGTTGTGCACGTCGTGACAGCAGATTTCGAAAGAAATCAGTGTGTTCGGCTGTAGATCTCATGTTCACC